CCCTAAACCTTCATGTCCAGGACTCAGAACTGCAGTGCAGGGTCGAGCTTCTGGTCTGGGCTGTGGGATACCTCTACGACCTCTGGCCTCTAAGTCTTCTGACGTGGAACCTCAAGTAGGTCTGGGTTTAGGGCTTAGGGCTTTGGGTAGAAAGCTCAGGGGTTTAGGGGGGTAGGGGTTTAGGGTTTAGGGTTTGGGGTTTGGGGTTTAGGGTTTAGGGTTTAGGGGTTTAGGGGTTTTGGGTACGTGCCCGGCTTCCCGTTCCTCCAGCTTTTTTCACTTCTCAGCCTGCTAAGGCCCAGCATAGGCCCTGCTCAGAAGGAGAGTCGGCTCCTTCACGAAAACCGCCATGGGGCATGCTCCATGAAAGGCCATTCCTTGTCTCGCAATGCTGAAGACCTTGGTGAGAGGCTTGCGACAAGGGACATGCTCGAAGGTGTTAGAAGTCTATGGTTTTGCGAAGGCAGATTCCGTGCCGATCTATGGGGAGAGTAAGCCCAACTCTTCAAGCACATGAGACCTGCTTTTAGAGCTGGAGTGACCTCCTCTTCGAAGACCATGTAAGCGGCGAAGAACAGCACGTAGGCAGCGAAGAAGAAGTTCGCAGCAGGAGAGAACCAAGGCGTTACCAACTTGCCTCTCAGGGATTTTAGGCCCTTGCATTGAAACTGAGGTCTTTGAAAGGTTTAAGGGACATAAGAAAGGTCTCATACTGATGAGGATCTGGTTTTGTGGTATAGACTATAAAGAAAATGGGCACTGTAACGGGATATTCTTAGCAACTTGTTCCGACCTTATAGTACGCGTTTGGGAACGTTGATGCGCAGAAAAGTCTGCAGGAAGATCAACTTCTGGGGCTGTGGAGTTATAATTGAGCACTTACTCTAGGACAGCTTCAGGTGGGTAGTTACCGTTATAGGAGCCTTATCGAAGCTCTATATACCTTATAGAAGCCTTATAGAAGCCCTATATACCCTAAACTCCCCACCTGTAGTTTCCTTTAACTTACCGTTGTATTCGTATGTTGAATGTGGGCGAGAACGATGGCACAGCACCTTGACGGGAAGACCAGAGTCTACAACGCATCTACTACAGGGGCCTCTATAATTACCAATACTATTCCTTGGGAATCATTATAATGGTCAGACTAGATTACACCCCAAAACCCTTATTTTGAGTATGAAGGCCCTTTATGGTATCAAGGGTCGCGGTGCTCCAAACCCTAAACCCTAAACTCTAAACCCTATAAACCCTAAATCCTAAACGGTGCTTGTGAAAAGGAAGCCTGAATCTCGAAACCTAGACCACCGACCTCTAGCCCCCACCCAAAAAATTGCTGTTGCTGATATATACATCCTGCATTACCTTTCGGTTTATAGGATTTAGGGTATAGGGTTTACAGGGTTTAGGGTTTAGGGGTTGATGATATATACATCCTGCATTACCTTAAGGACCCCTAAGCCACTGGGAATTGGGGTATACGGGTATACTTCTCATTACGGGTAATGCAGGATTTATATCATCAACCGCAGGGTTTAGGCTCCAGCTCTTATGTTTTCGTCTTCTGATGTGGCTCGAAGTTGCCTAGAAGCCATGTCCCCGGAATCCCGATGAAGACCGTCATCACGTATGCCAGCAATATGGAGAGGAGGCCGAATCCTCCAGGAGTCTCCAAGAAACGCAGTCGAGTCGCTTGGCTTTGGTTCTTGGCTTTGACCCCACAGGTTCAGGGTTCAAGGTTTAGGGCTCGACTCCAATGCATACCCTCCCTCAACACCAACTCAAACTCGCTCGAAAGACCCTTATACAAGCTCTTCTGGTGCTGATTGGAATCAGAAGGTACTTAGGCTACACTAGGGAGACCTTGCGCAGGAGCCTCTGAATACTCGCAAAAGCCGTCCTGGGAGTGACAAGAGGGCGTCCACCATAGACGTCTTCTCGCCACCTTCCGGGTCGGAAATCGTCAAGGCCCACATACATTCTAGAAGCGCAAGTGCCAGAATCGTGGGCTACTATACTAGGGTATAGGGACAGGAGCGTACTTGAGAGGCGTCTATAGGAACTTGGCTTCCGCGGTTTGCTCTCGTTCTACGATGATGGCTTCCTCGCTGCGACGAGAGTACCTGTTTTTGCGGTCATAGACTTCATGACTGGAAGTTGCACTGCAAGCAGCCGCAAGTTTTGCTGGGTCTAGATGTGGGTGGTTCAATAAAGTAGGGTCCCTTTTTTTGTCCCCGCTATAGTACGGCACCCTTATCAAAAGGACTCTGAAAAAGGACCCCAATTTAGAGAACAACTCATATAAGGCTCACATTATTCTGTGAATGCCACTACGCCGCAACGGAACAGTCCACGCAAAGCTCTGAGGTATTTAAAACTTGGGGCTCTCGCTGTGGGTTTAGGGTTTACTGTAGGGCGGAAGGTAGGCATGTTAGAGTGTGAGAGTTTTAGGGCTCTAGGATGTTAAGGCTGTAGCGGTTTAGGATCTCGGTGTGCTCAAGGTGTTTTGTGCTTCAGGGCTTGGGGATGCTGAGATCTATAGGGCTTCGGGGGTTTCAAACCCTAAACCCCTAAACCCTAACCCCTAAACCCTAAGCTGCCTAAACCCAAGTACCTACTTATTGGGTTGCTTGGGCCCGGCTGAGTGCTTGGTATGTCTGCAAATCTGCAAATCTTCCGACATCGGAGCCAGCCTCTAAGGGCAGCCACCCATTCCAGCAAAATCCGATGCGAAATCATCTGTGCCATGAGGCCTGGATACTACACAAAGGCCTACAGAATTAGCGATGCCCTTCTTTAGGACGATACTCTGCTTTTGTTTTAGTTGTTGCTGCTGATATCTGCAAGTACAGAGTCCGGATTCTCAGTCTGGGATGAGATGCCGGGTTCTTATTAATGCGCTTCATGTACCAGGCCTGAATGAATACTAGAAGCGCCTAAGGTTTTGGGGTATATTTTACTATACCTTTAAATTAAGGGACCCCCAAAAATACGAAATTATTTAGACCCCTACAAAAGCCCTAAGCCCTAAACCCATATATCAGGCTAGGATTTCGGAGAATTTACACATGTATTCAGGAAACCCATCGGCTGGTGTTGATCAACACTTTCGCGGTGACAGGAAATGCAGGGGCCTCGATAAGCAGAATAGATGATTTTTTTTTTTTGTTTTTTTTGGGGGG